TAAACGAGAGTTAGTCTAATTTGTGCAATAGAATTGCTTCCAATGAATGGTATCCAACTTTTAAATGTCTATACCCACTAATATTCTAAAGAGGATGACTTGATTGTTTGTTTGTTTGCATCCAATAGGCTCCAAAACGAATGTACTGATTTTCGAAATTCACGTTTTTACTTTGTACGGTGTTGACATAGGCTATAAATTCACGCGAGCGAGGTCGCGTGAAAACAGTTAGTTTCAAAAAACTAAACATACTCGTACAATGTATATAAATCGATTATTTATAACGCTCCAGCGATCTAATTTAGTAAAAAAGATCTCAAAGGGAAATATTCCCTAACATTTTTGTTCGATGCAAAATGTTGCACACAATATCCCAAGTTTTACCGCCTCACTTAGTTAATTGAAACAATTAACTGGAGAGCACGTAATAAAAGGAAATAGTGCCGCATAAAACGTTACGGCTTTGTATAAAAAAGAAAAATTGTCCACCCCCCCCCTTATTTTTCCGAATGCAGTAAAGAGTTAAGACTGACTTTAAGACTAATTTGGGACTTTGAGGTAGAGAGACGTTGAACGATCAGTTCGATGTTACGTCGGACAATGTAACTATTATCAACTTGATTATTTTATTGTGTTTATTAAAACTAATTAACCATTGGTTTCGATTGTTATTGTTAAAATTTGTAGTTATTTGTTATGGTAGACTAAAATATCAACTGCTATTATGATATTCACAATAGGTAAAAAAATTCACTAAATATCTAATGTCTCTCTTTTCCCTCTTTGTTACTTTTCATTATGTTTAAAAAAATGTCCTTTCCGTTTGATATCGCGTTATTTACAAAGCATTTTTTTTTATTTACATATAAATTCATTGTTTTCCAAAAATTCATGCAATAAGTTAACAAACATAATGTTATTAAATTATTATAACAATTTATTGGGGATTATTCATAAATATTATATAATAATTTAGCTCTTGCCTTTTGTGATATCTATACTTTCTATTTTCATATGACGTCACACGTTCATACTCGGTTCCAGCGCATTAGCAACGGGACTTATATCTGCTAGCACAGATAATATAATACTACTCGTATTTTACTAATCCTTCTTATCGTCATACTACAGCAATAACACAAAAAATAATGAATTATACCTTTAAGATATAGGAAATAAAAATGGTCTGACTAAAGTGATCTAGCCATTTCGATAGGTGTCTTTTGTCCAATATATCAAAATAGTTGTTGTGTTGCTTATTAGTTTAACTACGTGTTTTTTTTTTAATTGTTATGGAAAGTCACTCCATAGTCTAACGAAGTAATTTTTGAATTGGACAAAAGTCAAACTGTATGAATAAAACAGGGAGGAAAAAAGCAACCTTTGCTTTGTTTCTTGCCAGTTTGTCTCAGGACAAGGCCTTCCACCGTAACATGAAACACAATGGCAAAGTGTTTCACAATTTAACAGTGCTTGTAACGTTTACAGCCTTGACTGAATAACAGATATGAGTTTGATTCCAAATTCTTCAAGTTTTTAAGTTTACTGCGTTCAAATAATTGAAAACGTGACTATGAATTCCTTAATAAAAGTATTAAAAATAAAAATCTGGCGAACATACAGTCAAAATTTCCAAACGGCTCTGTTATTACTTACGTATTCGCGGACCAACTTGAATGATAATATTGTTTTACCAAGTTCGTCGGAAGTTGCCAAGCCCCGAGCAAGATAAACCACCCCACGATACAACAACCAACTTTTTCTTTGAATGCTTTAAAGTGTATTTTTTTTATTTGCATTCCGGTTTTCGATGGTCAAATTGTTTCTGTCTTCTCACAGATCCTCGCTTCGAAATCACCAGATTGATCAGTTCAACAAAATTTGAATTGCGAATGAAAACTTTTTTGAATGTTAAAGAAAAAGTTTGGTTCCATTCGAAAATATTGGTTGATTGGTATCGAAGTAGCGTTCCTGGCTTAATGTTTTGGTCGGGAAAGACTTTTACGATCAAAATTTATTTAAATGAATTCTATCACTCGCCTGTTCGTCGTACAATTTTGGTATAAGCTGTTCATTTGATTTGCCAATAATAATATTCGTACTTCTTGGATAAACACCACAAGAAGAATTTATATTGTCAAATAATTATGGTGAATATCTTTAATGGAAAAATACAAATAATAATTTTTGGTTAAGTCAAATCATATATCATTAAATTCATTTACTTTTTAACAAACGTGCTTTTATATACATGCAACTATGTAAAAGATTTGTACAATGATTAAAAATTTATTATATTTCATAAATTTGAAAATTATTCTTAAGAATATGCTAAATTTTTTCTTATTATTATATTTGATTCTCATATCTATCGAAAGTTTTAATATTTGTACATATATTTCTTTCGTTGTTTGTGTGTAATGCTTGAACATTGAAAGTACGGTCTGTAGTAGCGAAAAATTAACAAGTGCTTGAAAATTTCGTTAGTCCTGTTAGGTCCTTGGTAGCTCAGTGGTTAGAGCAGTCGCTCGGATTACGAAAGATGGTTCGAGTCCCATCTCTGACAAAGTGGATTTTCAAAGCATTTTTTATTAAGAAACTGTTAATTTTTCAAAATTTTATATTAAGAATACTCCGCGGTATTACTAATTTATTATATATGGTAATATTTGATATCATCTCGATGGAATCGCCAAATCGAACGGTCAATATCGAGATACTGGTTAGTGATGCTATCCCTTGGAGGGTAGCAGATACGAAACGCCGCAAATTATAAGCGGGCGTAGTGAAACGACTCCTCAGGCGGCCATAATAATATCTTGGCGCGAAAAATGGCGTGAATGCGCGGGGAGATGGGCAGCACGCGCCGCTACCGTGCCACCGTTGTAAAGTAAAAGCGGTTAGCGATTTACCAAATGCATGATATACTTGAACCTATTCCCATTCATATAACTAAAAAATTAATATTCTCAAAGACTTACCTACAATGATCTACCAAAATTACATAGGTTTTTAGAATTTATTATATTTGAGGTCATTGAAATTGGACTGCACGTATAATTTTGAAAATGTCAGTGAACTAATAATAATTAAGCAAGTACGTAATCTGCAAGAAAAATGAAGAAGTAGACACGGTTTATGTGCCTTTTTCATATTCTTATTCAATGGAAAAATTGAGCACTGAATAAATAAATAATAAAAAATAAATCATTATTAATTTATTTTATATACTTCAAGATAAGTTTTACTTTGTGTATTTGTGATTCGAAATAATGTTTACCACCTATCTGAAACAGTATCGTTATATCGCTTCTTAATTAGTCCATAGGTAGTCATATTTAATGGGGTGGAATATCTGTGGATCTAAATTGACTGGGGGGCGGGTGAGTTCGGACGAAGTTACATATATTTTTTTCTACTTTATGAAATCAAACTCATGTTTGAGGTTTACTTCAATCTAAGAGTACTTTGATAAGTTATACTAGCTTTTTTATAAAGCACTAGTCAGTTTGTTTTCCCGCGATTTGGGACAAATTATAGCCTATGTCACATGTGTCTGATGTAGATTCCCGTTGGTGAAAGATTTTTCTTTCCGATGATTAACCCCTACATACAAATAAAGTTAGAAATTTGACTTTTTTATAATATCAGTATAGATACATTACATTGAGTAGCTCGGTGGCATCGTTAATAAGTGTCGCGGCCCGTGTTCATTGTTGTTAAGCAGCTGTCACAAGGGTCGATTGTGGGATGACCGAAGAATTTTATCTCTAGTTACCCCGAGCGTCAAAAGGTACGTTAAGCCGTTGCTTGGTCTCTGCTGCATTTGGAGTTCTTCTTAACCATCCATAAGGAAGGCCTGAGCCCTTGCAATGGAGACGTGAAAGAGCTGATGATGAGGATAGATATAATAATGATAGATTAACTGCAAGGGATGGAGAGTACTATGATGTCTAGAAGGCGCATGTTTTAAACACCTGCCATCCAGTCTTACAGCTAATGGAGACGCTTAATCTCGAATTGATTTTTTCTGAGCTGCAGAAAAACTATACAATTTTCTTGCGAATACGTATCTGGAAACCCTACTTATAAAAAAAGTAAGTAATCAAATAAATTGGCAAAATATATGAACAGGTGTGCAGATGAAACAATTAAAGCGAGAAGATAGAAAATATGTGCCTGCAGAAAACAATGGACAAGGTTTCTATCCGAGTTTACTCTCTTTACTTTCAAATTAACTTTCGATAAAGTAAATAATAAGCAACTACATAAAATTATCCTCTTGTTCCCATTTAGTTTCCAATGTCACTCATAAGGTCAATAGTGGGTTAGGTAGAATACTGATTACTTAAAGTACAATATAAAAGTCATTCCTCCCTTTAATCCACTTTTTACGACTTACATTTGGACTTGCACGAATAAATAAGTGCGTTGCCTGACGTTTCTTTTCTGTTCAATTTTCTGTTTATCATAAATTGGAATATTTTAATAAAAATACTAACATTAATATTGTCTGCGGATGTCAAAAATAGACTAATACGAGAGATCAAACTACAATCAACAAATGACTCATCGTTTAACTGAATAAAGTTCAAAATTAATCAATTTCTCCGAGTCAAATTTTTTACACGATCTACAAAAGCTTTACAAACAACCCATTTTTATAGTAAAAACTCGCAGTGAACCTTACAAGGGCCGATGAAGTGACATTGCCGATTTTTTTCATCACCAACAAAGACAGTATCGGTGTTACGGGTCATGACAATAACACAGTAATTTTTCATTCGCACTGTCGCCCAAGAAAAACATCGCTTATAGAGGGTTTTAGTGTAAAACGAAAATTCAGCGGGCATTGTTCAGTTTCAACAAAGAAAACTGGAGTCGTCGAGTGGCGGGCGTAACGGGCGTAACGGTAAAAAATAATGCAAATTCACTCGAGCTTCCATCCCGTGAAATAATGCCCGATCGTTACATAGATAACGGAACGTTTTTTTTTCGTTAAATCGGCTCTCTTCCGCACTTAACGACATTGTCCTTCGTTAAACAGAGAAGTGATTCAGGTAGTCATCGAGCCGAGAGTGTAAGTACCTTTTTTTCATCATTTCAGCTGGACCGTTTTAGAGCGGGCTCTGAACGGCTCCTCTATATTGTTATTGTTCTAAGTTTGGTATCGCATTTGGTAAGACGACCTTGTTATGTTACTTTTACGAGTTCTGCGAAAGGGGTGCCCGGATGAACTGAAGGTTTTGACTTTAAGAGTGCCCTTTCATGCCTCCTAAAGTCGTAGAGCGCGGCTGCTATAAAAGTTTATGCAAAGTTTGTGAGCATAATCCGAAACAATGATAAGTCATTATGAGATTGATAACGATAATGAATGAAAAGTTGGTCGCTCGAATCGTTATGGTTTGTTATTGAAATACTTTTTAGGGTAAAATTTATGATTGGGATTAAGATTTAAAATAAATCTACTTCCTTAATGGGAATTTGCTTGATAACTAGCAAGGCAATTTAACACTATTTTTAACATGTAAAAAATGTGACAATGAATTATCTACATAGTTGTACTAGTAACAAAACTAAGTATAGTTAAATAAGTATAATCAATTAAAATTGTTACTTACTTATTTTTATTATACTAGTAAGATATCTCTTTCGCTAGTCAATAAATTGATTAACAACTTTTTGAAACTAATTCATTCTTAAGATGTGCATAGTACAAAACGGAGTATTTTTTTATATACGACAGTGCAATTTCCTTACTGAGAATCATCATTTCCTTTTACCTTGCAAAAGCAAAACGACTTTCAGACATTAGTGGGTCAACTGAATTCCTGCTGTCCTATTTTTAACATTTTCTTTAAGTATGCGCGTAGACAAAAATAACGTCCAAATAAGCTGTAATTATAAATGAGATTTTGGGTTTTGACACTCGAAACGTGAGTTTTATAAGACAAAGTCACTCTTAAAATTCTATAAATATATTTTTGTACACTGTAAATTGGTTCAAATAAATAATTTCACAAATAATGTCTGGTCTGTATCGTATCGTAATCGGATCCAGTACATTAACGGTGTATATGGCACACGTTAATAATAAATAACTCCATCAAATCTCCTGAATAACGAATTGATATCTGATTCGAATTAGCAGCTTTGGTTTCACACGAAATTTGCATCAGTGCTCTCATTCTATAATATTGGCGATATTAACTACGTAAGTAGAACTTAGTAGTGGGCGCTTTAACGTCCAACTTGTTCCAGGAATAGTCTGTTCACTATCAACTATTACGGAATCGGTTCTAAAGCAATTTATCAGTTTAGAAGACACGACTTTTAACAAATTTTATTTATACTTTGTAGGTAAAGTCAATCGAACTCATTACGAATTTTATTATGATAAATCAAATACTTTTATTCTACATACCGTGTTAGTGGAAGGACGTTGAAAGGGATGGCCAAAGGACAAATCTTCAACGACCAAAATGATCGTGTTATCGGATGCTGATGAACAGCAGCGAAAAAGTACGAAATAGTTATGAATGTATGAAAAAAAAATCTGATATAAAATAAATTTCATTATCAGAGAGAGAAGAAGGAGAAAATTTAATATCTTCTGCACGTTACAATGGTTAAATAGTTGAGCGTCAGGGCCTCGATTATATTAATGTATTCGTAATAATGGTACTTCAATGTTGTTACAATAAATTGCATTTTCCCATTTAAATTATTCACCTAACGCCAAATATTATTAGTACCATGATGTCTTCATGAATCGATAATGAGTTATTCTTTTTGCGATATGGTGTCAAGGAAGTCAAAAAAGCGGTTATTGAAACGCCATGGACACGCTTTAATTACGTGAAAGTTAACAGAATTGAGCCTTTTATGCATTTGTATGTTGACCTAAACATTCGCCACACCTGGCTCGATGTACCATGATTATGACATGATAACATGCATATATATTACTGTAAGTTTACAGTGAGTGATACTACAACAAGTGAAATGTAATTAAATTAATTCTAATGGAATGAACACGGCAAGAATTTTGCATGGATGGAGGCTAAACGAGCTGTAACTTAGTTTGTCTGCCGTTTCCAAAATTAGTAAGTTAGGTTGTGTATCGGATTTCAATTCTCGGTATGTCTATAACTTTTGAATATCATCGTTTTGTAATGAAGTTCTAATGAATAGAATTTCAATTTACGAAAATACCTATATGTCCTCGCTGATTTAACACAATATTAAAGTATTCAATCATTGAAATGCCATTGAGACATTCCATCATTATTAGATTAGTTGCTGCTGACTAAGAAGTCAGAACGCATTTGCCGCTAAAAATCTTCTCATTTTTATAAAGTATGGTTCTGTTTATATAAAATTTATCGATCGTGTTAGTTAATTTTAAACAAAACATTAATGAATTACATAATGAAACAACTAACATTCCGTCTATTTATAAAACAGTAGCAATAACAATATAGAAAATAGTCATAACGTGATGTCGTTGACCCGATCAATTAGAAACTCTTTATAATAATTTACATTTAAATTATCATTCAACACGAAAACAGACCAACAAAGAGATTGCAACACTAGTAAAGTTTCGCCAATTTGGCAATGGCCACGGATGCAAATTCCCTTGATTTATTTGACGACTAGCGGCTCGCGGAAGGAGGCACACAATTATTTACGCACAACACCCCTACTACGTGCCTTCGCAATATTTAATTAATAGTATAAATATTTTCCCCAGTTTCCAGTTTGCAAAGGACAGTGCCTTATGGGAGAGGACAATAGTATATTTAAAATCGATTCTCTCATTAATTGAATAATTATGTATTTAGTACTTTAGAACAACACGTTGCAGTAAAATAAACAAGCTGACACTGAACTATGAAAAATACTTAATTTAAAACTTGGAATGATATAAAAATACAAAAATGTCATCTCATTTAGAGCATTCCACCACATCGTCTCTAAGGTTCTACGGTTAAATCGATGTATGTCAAAAAAATTCCATTTTTCAGTGTATCTAATAATTTTAAGTGTATATTTGTGGCAATGTATAGTGATTTTTTAAATTAAAAATTATTATACAATATTATTGTTTAGATGACACTATAAAAAAACCACTAAGGTTTGTCAATAGTGCCAAGTAATTTAGATTCTGTGTGGACAAACGTATAGTACAAGATACATATAGGAAGTCCTACACCTACACCGATCCAGTAACTATATGAATTTTGTTTATAGAAAATATATTAAAAATCTTCAAGGGTTCATATTTTTCAAACGTTTGAATTTAATGGATTCGTTCTGATGTCATATCTATGGCATGCCATGTGTCTTTTGGCTCTATCTCACATCAAAGCTAGAGGTGGGTTACTTGTTCGGTATCAGTAACTATGGTAAGGGATATAAGCGTATTCCCGTGAAAGAGTGATGGATTTACTCAATATCGTGTCCGTCGAATGGAAAAAATTGATGGCTATTATGTCAGAACGGGCTTTTCTATGCGTATTTCGATTTTTTCGCAAACTTTTTTTTTATTTATGCCCATGCCTCCATTCACTCTGACGATGGATAGTCGGGCACACAAGTGGTTTGTGGGCGGGTATAGTTGTTGTATAAAATGAGGATACTCACGTTCGTGATCTGGCCGGTCGTATGATCTCAGCATGCCTACGAACAAGAATAATACATTTAATGATATTCTCAAATGTCAAATTAATAAATTAATTAGGTAATTTAAATATATTTTTATTGTTAATGCTAATTTGCATAAAAATATCTTTAGGTATAAGGGTTTATATAATTACTTAGCAGAGATCGTATCTGTCCTTAAGTTGTTAAATTAAGTATATATTCACTCATGTAAATTTAATTTCGTTCTTGGTGTTGTATTAATCTATACTAATATTAAAGGGGTGAAGTTATCAACTTTATTTGTTAGTATGTAGGGAATCGGAAATCCTGATTTGATCACGAGAATACTTTCATCTATAGGAAGCTACCTCAAACGCAGGTGACATAGGCTATATTATTATTAAAAAAATAAATTACACGAGTGAAGTCAAGAAAAAAAGCCTAGTTAAATTAATAAGACTAAGACGTAAAAAAAGCGAGTAAAATACCAATATGTGTCTGCTTTTGTATTACTTTACATTTCAGACATACAGTTGCCAGTTAAGTAGAGCACTAACATAGCCAAAAACTCTTGTTTTGCTAAATTACTCATATTATGAAAATATTACCCTATATACCTACCCATGGACATCAAATTTATTGATCTACTTAACATAACCATACCGACTACCGACGTTTAAAAATTTGTATAAAGAATTGTTCAATATAATAAAAACACGGTTTATTATCCAATAACAAACTTCTTTACCATATCACGTCAACTGTAGTCCCGATATAATCGAGTATAATAGTCTAGTATATAAAAAGTATTAAAAGTATATATTTAAGTAAGGAATAGTCGAGTATATAAAAAGTATTCAAAAAGATGACTTGAAAATATCAAAATACAGTTTTATAACTATGGTTTTAATTCTTAATTCCTTTATCATATTTTCCTACAGAACTCTGTTTACATTCTAAATTTATCTAAAAAAGTTTCCGATTCCAAATAAAGCTTCAGTACATTTCAAATGTCACAAGAAAAACTATACGCTGCACATCAGAGTTGTAATTGAGCAAACGTATTAAAATTAATAGGTGTGCATGGCTGCTATTAAATTTTCATTCATCAATTAGGTTACTTTGTCCATTCATTTATGTGCATTCATAAAATAGTACAATCGGCGATAAAAGCGGTGGCCAATTAGTTTGTTTAACGTGGTGTGCGGAATGTACGAGTTGCCGTGGTGACTCCGCCGGTGTATATGTGTTAATTGCCTGCTCGTGTATGTCTGCAAGCTTGATATTTTCTATCATTTAGTACGTGAACTGGCAAATGAAAGTGTTTCATTTTTTTAATTTTTTTTTTCTTTATACATCATCCTTAATTGTATTTTCTCTAGTGTTACTCGTACCGTAAACTTGTCGACGATAAATTTGGACAATTCAAAAGTGCTTGTAACAAGCTTAATTGAATAAAGATATTTTCATTTCATTTCATTAAAATGTTTTGCATTTTTTAGGTTTATTGATATTTAAATAGTATTTGTTGCAGGGATATGATAAAATCATGGAAGATGTGTTAAAATAACTCAATTTTAACATTTCCCTAAACAAATTTAGTGATTTGATTAAATAATAAAGACAAGTGGCAAGGTTCAACAATTTATAACAATGTAAATGTAAAATAATTAGACAAATGTTAAAATTGAGTCTGCATTTGATGTCAAACTTTATTTTCAACACGCAAGTTTAAAATTTTTGAAATATGATAAGTTTAAGTAACCTTAAACACTTTTGACAGTACAAGAAAATAACAAAAATATTTTTTAATAAGTTTTTCAAAGCATTTATCATTTTGGAACTTTGTCAGCGATTATACCATTTAGTGTTCTCATAGTGCGTCATAACCATTGTTTACAACATGTGTACGTACTAGTTGAGACACAGCTGTTAGTTCAATAATTAGAATGAGAGGAAATGTCGAAACTATGGTTTGAAATAATTTAAACTTGATGGATATGACAATTACTTTGTTATTTGTTTATTGCAACGAGGTTAGGATTAAACGTAAAGATTTGAGATTGTAGGTTCAAAATCAAAATACAAATGCAATAGGTATTTACGTGAAAGATGTATAAAATAGTTCATAATTTTTTCCGTGATTTTCGATAGCAAAAAAGGACATTAGTGGACTTTGAGATACTGCTTTCACATTAGATGAAACAAGGTATTCTTTAAAAATATGAACTCATTGTTTCGGTTCCAATTTAAAGTAAGTATCTGTTAAATTATTAAGGGTAATGGGATTACCACGGTTCTCCCACGCCTTATTATTATAATAAGATCGTCGAAATGTTACTACAGCCCTTAACATAATAATTGATATTTTTGATTATTTCTTATACCAAATATAATCTTCATTAATAAATAATACAGTTTGTATTACATCGGTATATAAAAAAAACTCTTACCGAGTTCGTTTCCAGTTTAACAAACACTTTGAATACAGAGAGAAATGGGCCGAAAAATTTGCTTTGCAAATAATAACGTAAAAATATTCCATTTCATTGGCACATATGGGGGACGAGTGTCTATTATTTTGTTGTATACGGTGGATGGTTGCCCTGTATTCGTAAAGGGCTTCGAGTTATTGGGAGATGTCTTCGAGTGTTTGCCGTTCGGATGTCGTTAACTAGAAATACGCTCGAGTTTGAGCTATATGTGTATGGTAAGCGGGCCTAATGTTTATAGAGATCATTTTTTCTATTTAAACTTATCTTAATATAAAAAGAATAGATAAAGTTATGTATATTACATCTACATTAGCCAAGTTATGTGTATATGGGGAACAGAACACAAGATTAGATCGAAAGAGATAGAACGAAGGTAACGATATGGGTGAATGAATTGTGTTCAAATCAAGAAAGAGTAAGATATAATAAAATGATTTTATTTTGTATTCAACGCGTTTTAATTCCATATATCCTATAAAATTGTTTGTGCAGTTGACCACAAATGCGCTGGAAAGACGACATCAAGAGGGTTGCAGGTTCCAAATGGTTGGAAAGAGCTCAATGCCGAGATGAATGGAAAATGCTGAAGGAGGCCTACACTGATACAGTAGAGACAGGCTGAAGAAGAAGATCTTATAAATTGCCAGTACATATTAAGATAGGTAATGTAAAGCATACTAACACTCATGAAGAAATTAGTTTTTCACAAAGATTCGGAAGGAAGGTGAAATGTCACATGGTATTATTATTATACGATGTTGTCAATTATTTGTGTTTCATTTTTGTTTCATATCTTTAATAACAATTACTCAATCACGGCGCTTTATGTTTTGAAACCAATATGAGACGTTAAAATTATTGAAAATTAGAAACAGATTCCATTCCTTTCTTTTGTAACAAAGCGCTTTTAAAGTGGAATTTGTTGAATACGTCCATAAATCAGTAGCAGATACCTTTCTATCGTTTAATAGGTCAAGTAAGACAATTCAAACGTCGACCGGTCGTGACCGAGCGGTCACAACAAATAGAAGTAGTCGAGGGGATACGGTTCTAAAAATATACCCATTGGTATTTGAAATTACATAATAAAACCTATAATCGTCAACGTTTACAATATGTGGTTTGTATTTGAAGTTTAATCGGTGTTTAGTTTTAGAGCGTTTTTACATATCCTAAGCGTTTTTGTCGCGCGACTGGAGTACTCTAAGTCGTACATTCTTATCAATTGTAATTGCTTTTCTATCGGTTATATGTTATTATATTTGATTAATTTTGCATTCACAATGCTATATTGCAAAATATCCTTAATCAAAATGCTTTAAAAAAATCCCACCTCAGAGTAATAAGAACAAAGGGTTATATATGTTAAAAGATCATTCTTCTTGACACCATTCGTAGTTCTTTTTAATGAACCTTTACGCCCATACTTACCTTCAACTCACAAGTATGCAAGTATCGATTTTGCTATTAAATATCAAGATGTATAAAACCTTTTTTAACGATGGTATCTAAAGATGACAACGTTTTTGACTTATGATTACATATACTTTCTGAAGTACTTCTTATAAATGTGGGCGACAATATTACATCGTTAATATTTTATGGGTTTTGAAATCAATTTCCTTCCCATCCCTAAAACTACAATGATGACGAAGAATAGTGCCGTGTCGTGTGCATCCGTCGTCGTGATCCATCGCACGCGTCGTCAACCGTCGCACGTGTTCGGAAGCGAACCGTGACGTCACGATGCAGCCTTTGTGTTGCCGACGACAGTTTTGTGATCTTAATTTCCAATGACTCCTGTCCGTTTAGAATTTGAAATTTATGATTAGGTGGGCAAATAACCATATTTAAAGACAAAAATAGGTATATATGTATATAGATATGAAGTTTATTTATGTGCCTTCCGAAGCACGGAGTAGCTCGAGATAATAATTTTTTGGTCACCCATCCCGTGACCGACCCTTGCGAAAGTTGCTTAACGACAACGATCGCGGGCCGCGGCTCTTATCCACTACGCCACCGAGCTACTACTACTACTATCTTACGTATAGAAAAAAATTGGTTTGTACGTTGTATGTTTCAACTTGTCTATCAACATTTACTGTATCCCTGAGGTTAAACATAAACTTTAGCGAATCCATGATAGTAAACAATGAACACAGAATACTTCATGAATTACAGTTACGATTTGAAAATTTCAGGATTTCCAGGAAAATCCTAAGATTTGCCGCACTACCAGCTTTACAGTAACTTATACATGTAACGTATGCACATCAAAATATACGTCCCACCTTATGAAATAAAAGTTATAATTCTCACTTTGTTAAAATGAAACCAGGTTTACAAATTTTTATAATATTCAAGTTTCACATGTTAAATATAGCCTACTTTACTAACTATACAATATTAAATACACCTACACTCAATTAATAATTATATTACATTCTAATAACTAGTACAAGTTTATTGTTTCCGAGGAATAGGAATACAGGTTCAATCAAGTTCAGCAACAGATGATAATCGATATTAATAGAAATT